AAATTTAAGTTGAAATTAGTTTGAAGAAGCCTAGAACTTCTTCGAAATGGTTTGTTTTGTGAGTTATTTTGTATGTTTATAAGCTTTCTATAAATATTTAAAACCGAAAATCGATGACTGTATTTTTATTAAGTTTATATTTTATACATAACCATTTAAAATTTAGCGAGCGCATTACTTTTATGACAGGTTTTACATCACTTTTCACAATCTATTTAAAGTCGCACGTCAATTTGAGCTTTCTAACGGATTAAACATTGCGCGAAAAAGTCAGAAATATTATATCTAATTTTGCCATGTTGCAATTTTGATAGTTTATATTTTGTAAGCCATTAAACTTGAACTCTATTAGTATTAGATAATTGCGTCTTATGTTTGTAACGCTTTAGTATTTTGGTTTTAAAATAGCATTACTAAGAAAACTATCATAGACTATAAATTATCTAAAAACTGTCTACAAGACTAAATTAAAACTGTCTACATTCTACAAATGGCCTTGTAGCATTCTAGAACGGTTACTTGAGAAAAAAGATAAGAATCACTCTTAAGACTACCTACAGATAGTTTCTCAAAGCACTCTTGTTATCTACTAATAAAGTTGCGCCCACTTTTACATTAAATTATTTAAAAACCTTCTTCGAAATATCCTGAAGGAATTTGAACTGTTAAAATCTTCAATCGAATTAAATTTTATTAAATATGTTATACTCTATATTTAGATATGGGTGTACTGCTTGGGAGAAAATACTAATGACAAATATATAGTGCAATTGTGACTAGATGGCACAATGATGGACGGTTATGTAGATTTAGGTAGTCAATGTCTTTATTAAGATCAGCGAAGCAAATAGATTAGGTATTACGTGGATTAATGACAAACTACCAATAATGAGAAGGTTAGGTAACATTGTTATGCCTCTGGATGTAGCAAGGGTAGAAATAAAAATACAAGAAATAGTTGATAAGATTGAGATTTTGATTGAAAAATTGCAAGATGCCATTCTGTTTTTTGCAAAACTTGCAAAACTTGAACTGACTTTACAGCATGATGTTTCAGCCCCCCAAAACAACTAATTGTGATATCCGTTGCTTGTAGTAGCAGCTACTTAGATACAGCCTATGTAACAGGGTCGTTGAGGGGGAAACCTCGCAATGAGTTTTACGTATTGCCAGGTGAATACAGTTTCGAAAATGGAATGGAATTTTGGTACAAAATGTTAGTAAGAATCCATAACTTTACAAAGGGTGATCTATTAACACGGTCAAGACCTATGGGTAAATGTGGTCACGTTAATTTTCTTAAGTTTCACGATGATAACACAAACTCTGCAACATCTTGGGCCAGGATTGATTAAAGTTCAGGTAGAACGATTAAAAGCATTACTAAAATCGTTTGAGATGTGTTTTTCTAGTCATTTAAAAGGACTAGGTTTTACAAATGTGCGTCAAATAGAAATCGAAGTTAACGACTCGAAACCGGTTGTATATCGCCCTTCTTATGTCATATCCTGAACGTGAACTTGTGCAATCAATGGTAAAGGAAATGATAGACGCAGACATAGTATGCGAATCAAGTTCAGTTTATGCGAGCCCAATCTTACTTGTTAAGAAGAAAACAGGTGAGAAAAGGCTCTGTGTGGACTATAGAGCCTTGAACAATAAGAACACAGAACGTTACCCTTTACCATTAATCGACGACCAATTAGATCGATTAGCTGGTCATAATCTATTTATTAGTCTTGACCTCGCATCGGGGTATTACCAAATACCAATAGTAGAGCACTCTCAACATAAAACATCATTTGTAACTCCTGATGGCCAGTATCAATTTAAGCAGATGCCATTCGGTCTAGTAAATGCACCATCAATGTTTTATACGCGCACTGAATAAAGTACTAGGCAAATTAACTTACATTATAGTATATATGGATGATGTACTTATCCCAGCTCGCTCACTCGAATAAGGAATGACTAGATTAAGCGAGTTGCTTAGCTTAATAAAGGGGGCAGGTTTGACTCTCAAATTGAAAAAGTGCTTCTTCTTTGAAAAGGAAATCGATTTTCTTGGTTTTCGTGTCAGTGACGATGGCATTAAGCCTGGTTCCAGAAAAAAAAAACAGTTATAACAAACTTTCCCACACCAAAAAATATCCACGATGTTAGGCGATTTATAGGTCTCGCAAGCTTCTTTAGGAGATTTGTAAAAATGTTGCTCTTATAGCAAGACCTTTAACAGACCTGTTGAGTACAAAATTCGAATGGAAGTGGACTAATGAACATTTTGAAACATTCAATACATTGAAGGAACGGCTCACTGAACGACCTATACTAGCTTGTTGTGATCCTAAACTGAGCACGGAATGGCATACGGATGCCTCAAAGTTAGGCATTGCGGGTATTTTGATGCAACGTGATAACGACGGTTTACTTAGGCCCGTAGCGTATTACAGTTGGAAAACAACGAATGATGAGCAGAAGCTCCATTCTTTCGAATTAGAAACTCTTGCTGTTATTGCTTCATTGAATCGTTTTGGCATATATTTACTGGGGTTAACATTTAAAATTGTAACCCACTGCAATGCACTACGCACCATACTGACAAAAAGAGATCTTATCCCATCAATTTCACTATGGTAGGTACAATTTCAGGAGTACGATTACACCATTGACTACAGACTTGGTACTTGACGTTCTGGCACGTTGACGCTTTAGGTCGTCATCTTGTATCAGAGACAAATCCGCTTAACGAAACTCATGTTGTCGATGTACTGAATGTAAACGTGAAGGATTGGATTGCAACAGTACAAGAAAATGACGATGAAGTTAAGCGCATTAAACAAATTTTACTAGATAATGATACTAAGTATGTAGCTGACAAATAACTAAATATTAAGCACGTATTTAACGCTGTAGCTACTCCGAGAGCCAATGGACAAGTAGACCGGTTTAATCGCACTATTTCAGAGGCGTTGTGTGCATAGTGCCATAATAAAAATGATAATACTTGGGATACATATGTAGGCGATATTCAACTAGGCCTATTACTGTTTGGATACAAATTAGATAGCCCCACAGAAAACGTACTTAGTGACGTATTTACAGAAACATCTGAACGCATTACTGGTGATGATCTAATGCACTTAAGATCGCAGGCCGTTTATAAAATAAATAAACATCAGGAAGCTGCGAAAAAACAATTCGACAAACACCGGAAAAATGCAACTTCTTATAGTGCAGGTGACCTTGTTAGGATAGAAAGGACTATTATAGATATAGAAGAGCCTATCCAATGACAGATTTCTTGTCAAAGATACACCTCTGAGTAGAAAAGGTAACAAAACATACGAAAACGTCGTAGCATTAGACAAAATCCACCCCTGGCTTAATTTTAAAGAATATGATAGCGAAGGTAGCGAAAGCAAGAAAGAAACAGAGATGGCGATAGTTCTGACTCGATTAGCAAAGATTGAAATTTGTTTATGAGAACAACGTTAATATTAGGTATTAACGATAATAAAGTTTTAATTTGGTTAACTGAATATAAAATTCTAATATTATTATACTACTTGATTGAGAATACGAACATGATTGTGATTAACAAAGTATGTTAATTATTACTTAGTTTTGTTTCAGATTCTTTAGATTAATATAATAAATATTACAATTGATGCGAACATAGGCTATGAGCGGTCAGTGCAGAAAGCGAAAGGTATTGGGCAACCAATGCCACATAGATGATCCCAGATCATACCAGATTGAGATATGCAATTTTGAAATTGTGAACTAGATTAGAGATTTGATTAAGAGTGACGTTTGTTGTGAAACATCAGATTATATTTAATGTTGTAAGAAATCAATGGTTACATTTCCGTTTCCCAGATCAAACAAGCGTCACACGATTTTCGATGAGACCATGTATTATCGTTATTATCCCGTCTATTATTGCTTGTAATTTATCTAACGTAATTTTCTTTTCTCTCTCTCGTATATTGTTATAAACTTAGAATAATAACGCATAGAATGATAGTTTCATATCAAACGAGCTGTCACAAGTGAGGCAAAAATCAAATTCATGTAGGCCAGTTTTAGTAGTAGGTTAATTTTCGGTTTTAGTGAATATTTATATAAAAATACAAGTTGAAACGCGTTACTTCCTTGTGGAATGTGTTGTCATTGTGTAGTAGATTAAGTGCTTTCGGCCTTCACTTTGTGAATTATGTATCATTGGAAACAAAATTTGCCTAAATTTAATATTTAATAGGTAAACAAAACATTTATGTAATATGTAAGCTGTATGTTTCTTTAAATAAATAAATAAATATATATATATATATGTTTATGATATGTGTGTAGATAAACAATGTTTCGTGTGCGTGTTTTGTATCACATTTGCTTGAGTGTAAACGTATTCATAGACTCTTAGAAAATTAAACCTTTACACTTAGAATAATAACGCATAGAATGATAGTTTCATATCAAACGAACTGTCACAAGTGAGGCAAAAATCAAATTCATGCAGGCTAGTTTTAGAAGTGGGTTCATTTTCGGTTTTAGTGAATATTTATATAAAAATACAAGTTGAAACGCGTTACTTCCTTGTGGAATGTGATGTTAGTATCTATTTTATGTTTGTCTGACGTATTTTTGCACTCATTTACCGCACATTTCGTCATTTTTAGCTAAAATTCTTGGTCTGTTCGCGGTGCAAGTTGACCTTGAGCTTGAAGGCCTGCCCGCTCGTGTAGGCCCATTGGGAGCGCTTCAATTTGCCTCACTTAGCGTGTGCGGACTAGGTTTCTATGCGTTATTATTCTAAGGTTATAAATTTGTTAGGTCTGACTATATGTTTACATTTCATAACATAATATTGTGTGAGAGGACTCACCTTAAGAGGATGGCCGAGTTGTAGGGGAAGGTAGCCTAAAACGGGTACCCCGCCTAAAGCGGGTAAGGCTGTGTATGTGTACATCTCAAGCGTAAATGTGAATGTGTGAATGCAGTGAAAATGGCAGACCGGCGACCAATCAGAGGCAGTCGGCTCGCTACACTGGCGTACGCGCTTTGAAGGTAAGACAAAAACAAAGATTTTCGGTGTTTTTATTAAAATTTATTGCTAGATTTCAATTCTGAATATTCGAAAAGTGTCCATATTAAGTCTTCAATATTTTTATGCTATTATTACGCAATAAACAATGATCATAATCGAGTCAGAACTTTGTCGCCTTGTGTTTTGATTTTAAGGTTATGGCATTTGGGATAAAAAATGTGCTTTTGGGCAAAAGGGGTAGTGGTAAAACGGGTACCCGTTTTGCCCATACCCGATTTGCCCGAATAATTTTGCATCGAATGTGTTGCTTGTGGTTAATTTCGGCATGACATTTTTTTTTGCAGATGGTTAATAAATATAAGAGGAAAACGACTAACGCATCTTGGGATGATGGAGTTATGAAGCTTGCAATGGAAGAAGCAGGCAAAACATCAGTTAATAGTGCAGCTAAAAAATATGGAATAAATTTGTCGACACTACAGAGACACATAAAGAAAGGATGCCCGAAAAAGAAACTCGGGAGATTCACAACTGTTTTTACGGAAGCTCAAGAAGTTGAACTGGTCGAGTATTTGTTTAAAATGGATGATTTGTTTTTTGGACTTTCTAAAAAGGAGTTCTTGGAACTTGTGTATCAATATGCTGAGCGGAACTATATACCTCATCCATTTAAAAACGGAACAGCGGGTGAAGATTGGTACATTGGTTTTAAAATGCGTCATCCCAATGTCTCTCTGCGCCGTCCAGAGCCAACATCAATCGCTCGAGCTAGAGGCTTTAACCGGCCGCAAGTAGAACGGTTTTTTGACTTGCTTGAGCAACAGATCAAGAAACATAACATCGATGCAACACGTATATATAATGTTGACGAAACTGGCATACAAACAACGAGCAATAAGCCTCCAAGAGTTCTAAGCAAATCAGGAAAAAAACAGGTTGGCGTCATAGCAAGTGTCGAGCGAGGTAAATTGACGACTGTAGTATGCTGCTGCAATGCGGCAGGCTCTTTTATACCCCCTTTTTTAATATTTGGGCGGAAACGAATGGTAGACAGGCTGCTGGATGGGGCTCCACCTGGATCAGCAGCTACTTGCACCGATAATGGTTGGATCAACGGGCCAACATTCTTGGAATGGTTACGGCATTTTGTAGAAATGACAAGACCAACACCAACTAGAAAAATTCTACTAGTAATGGACAATCACGAGTCCCACAAATATTTGGAGGCATTGGACTTTGCGTCAAAAAATAATGTGATTTTTGTCTCTCTTGCTCCACATACGACACATCGTATGCAGCCGCTTGATACCTGTGTCTATGCACCTTTGAAAGTTTACTTTGAACAGGCGGTATCATTGTTCCAAAAAACGCATGTTGCTCGCATCATTTCCCAGTATGATGTGGCGAAATTATTTGGTGAAGTATATATGAAGGCAGCGAGTGCCCAGAACGCGGTGAAAGGATTTTCGTCAACCGGCATTTGGCCTACAAATAGAAACATATTTGACGATTCTGTCTACCTTCCATCAACTTTAACTGATCGACCAGAACCTTCTCTTCCAATTGGCACTGAAACTAGCCTTGTAACTACAGTGCCTGAGACAGAATCAACGCCTGTACCGACCAACAAGGAGATTAGCCCAGTTACAGTTCTCAGGTCTCAGTTGCCTGAGACTATTCCAGAGTTTGAGACTATTCCAGATGATACTCAAAGCCAAATTGATTCAGATACTCGTAAATCATTTGATTCTGATCGCACTGTTTCACCATCCACTCTGAATGAAATTCTGTTTGGAAATTTAATCTGCAAAACTCCTGAGCCATTGGAAGACTCAGAATCAGCAAAACATAAAAATATAACGCTTTCAAGAACCGTAACACCACTACTCCATAATGCTTCCCCATATGACATTAGGCCGATACCTAAAATGGAATCCAAAACTACTCGTAAACGCAAATCACAAAGGGCGGAAATACTCACAAGCACTCCTATAAAAGACCAGCAGAGAGAAAAAGAAATGAAGAAAACAATTACCAAGAAAAAAGGTGATGCTGTGAAGGAACATTTGAAGGAAGTAACGTCAGGAAGTAATAAAAAATGGGCATTAAAGAGAAATTCAAAAGACGTTAAACCGTCTACAAGTAATATAAACAAAGATGGAAAAAGGATGAAAAAAGGTATAAAACAATCCGAATGCAGATGCTTAGTGTGTTATGAGCAATATCAAGATCCGCCATTAGAAGATTGGATTAGGTGTGATGATTGCAATATGTGGGCACACGAGAGCTGTACCTCATACTCAGGAAGAGGCGCTTATTACTGTGATTTGTGCCAAGAATAACAGGTTTCTCTATTATATCTAATGACTTCCACCACTGTCAGCAAAATTATGAGCCCCTTGTGTTGGATAAACCATTTTTTCTAATTAAACAAACTTCTAATTCCTTATTTGATTAATGCCATTGTCGTGCCAAAATTAGTTGTAATAATTTAGAAGTCACTATTTTTATAATTATTTTATAACAATTTTATTGATCTCAATAATTTAGTCACTACCCAGTTTGCCCTAAAGCCTTACCTGTTTTAGGCCCCGCTACGGGCAAAACGGGTAATTCGAGGAGTCTAGCTTTTTGTATTTTTTTAAATATTTTTTAAGTAATGACTTTATTTTCATGTTGATTTTATAAACTTTAAAACATAAAGAACTTAATATTCAAAAATACACATTTGATTTGTTAATGCTCTCATTTTTATTTAACCACAACCTTAGCTTACCCGTATTGGGCTACGTTCCCCTAAGCCTAGTTACTGTAATTACTATAATTTAATTCGAGTGATGTTCACTTGCTCTGTTATAGTCTATAGCTTTTTATCGCATTGCAATGGCAATACCAACATCAAATAATCATCACTTGTTTTGAACACTGACAAACGGTACACTACGACGAAAATCACTTAGAAAAAAATAAAATACTTGAAAAACGGAGTAATTACGTTTCATTTTCTCAGATAAGTATCTGCTTCTTTACTAAATCTATGGGTGATGCCGTGTTAAGATGTAGTGTACCATTTACAATAAAGATTTTTTTTTAATAATTATAATATACATACCAGAATTTATTTTAAAGACAAGATATCTATGTTCACGCTTTTGTATAATGAGTATTTGTTCTTTGTATTTGCTTAATGCAGAAAAAAAGGATAAGTAACTTGAACGCTCTTGATTAAGACAAAAACAATTTTGATTCAATAGAATATTTGTATAAGGATTACTATACAATACAACTGTTTGTTGTCATAACTACAATCACCAACAGTATGATAGGACACCACCAACACCAACAGTATGATATGTTACACCCTGTGTTACTAAAAAATCTATATTAAATATTAGACAATATCGCATGCGTTGCGCTGATCCCAAAGTAAGTAACTAAGCACTTGTGATATGGAAATCTGAAACAAAGACGGTACCATAAACACCTAGACTCGAGACAATATAGAAAAGCTCATTTTCTATATTGATCCGGCCGGGGATCGAACCGGGGACTTCAGAGATGGCGACACCATGAAAACCGGAGTGAAAGCCACTTGACCACAAATATATGTATATTGGTGGAACATGATAGCTCAGGGTGATCTTGTTCTGAAACATGTCGAGAATTATTTAACGAAGACGTGAAGAAGACATCTAAAGCTTTTGCTAGAGGAGAATACCCTGTAATGGAAGGGCCAAACAGAATAAGTTATACACGGCGTTTCAGAGCTTGTACCTTGTGGCAGGTGTCAAATGAGGGCCTTGTAACGCACTTAGCGGAAATACTTGTGGAAGAGGTGGAGACAACTACGTTAGTTCAAATAATCATTCATATAAATGTATTATTTATACAAACCTTTGTGTTTTATTTCTATAGCCGCGACAAGTGCTCGTCGCTTTCGTTCATTCCTGCGGCCGTGTAGTAGTTACATCGTGAATAGGTTTATTTGAGAAAAGCGCAACACTAATTTACATTTGTCAAAAGACGAAAGCACTGCACTATAAAATATGTCACGTCCTAATCTTTAAAGAGCCCCATATACAGTTGATTAATCATTTCAATCGATCGTCACGATAATCGTTACAATCTGTCGCTACTCCCTTGACGTTCAAGTTAATCGTTAACAACACAAACACATTTACGAATTGGTTCGTATAATATAAAGCAAGTCCTACATGCAAATAAGTTGAGGATTCCACGCCAATGCCGCAGACCTCGTGTGAAACCACCAACAGTCGAGCGAAGACCTGCCATCTTACCTTACGTGAGAGGTGTTACAGACAAGATTGGAAGAGTCCTCAGGCGTGCATCTATCAAGACCTATTTCAAGCCCCTGAGGAAGATTTCTCAGTTCCTGAGACCCGTGAAATGTAACATCCCCTTACAGGATGCAGGAGTTTACAAGCTTGACTGTGAGTGCGGTCTCTCTTATATTGGACAAACAAAGCGAAGTATTTGTACCCGCGTCAAAGAACATATAGCTGATGTCAAACACCGTCGCGTAAACAAGTCTGCAGTCTGCGAGCATGTCATGGATAAACCTACACATTCAATGAAGTTTGATAAGCCCCAGGTCCTTGCAAAAGAAGTCCGTTATCTGCGCAGGATGCTGCGAGAGGCCATTGAAATTAAAAAAACATCCTAATTTCAACAGGGAAGATGGTTTCTCCGTAGCACCAGTTTGGGATCCAGTATTTCCTCTAATGAAAAATTCCAAACAGACATAAGACTGCAGTACTAATTAATATGTTTTAGTTTATTCTAATTTCTATTAACAATTAATAATAAATTAAACTTAATAAAAATTCATTCAATAAAATAATTTGTAAAACATAATGCAGCGTAAATTGGAATGTTTTCTTTGTAAAATTAAAAATAAGGTATTTAATTGATAACTATTGTAACTATAGTGAAAAAATAGGGTGGTTTGCATTAATATTAGACATAACTGGTTGAAGACTGTACCACCTCAGTCAACCGTGACCATGGGACCTGTAAAGGGCCCGAAACGTCGGTTTGTTTGAAAAAACAAATATACGCAATTTAAATCCGGAAAAATAGTTTCACTTCCTATGTGTAACAATCGCGAAAACCTAAGAACTCGAAATATCATTAAATTTGAACGAAACTCGATTTACAACAAATATTTAGTAGCCAATAGTTTTTCCCTTCGATGTTGGGTATTAACGGGTGTTATTAACTCGATTTAGACCAATATATATTAATAAAGAGCCGGGTTTAAACCCGGGCGCTTGACAATCTCTGGTCACTACAGATCATGAAGACAAAATATAAACATACATTATCGATTCGTCGTTACGATCAGTCTGAAACGACGTATCGTGAAGACAAATCGTCCCATATATGTGCGCCCTAAGAATTAAGGGTTGGCACCTGCCACAATGTCGCTGTCGACTCAAGTTACCATAACGTACATTTACTCTGCCAACGTTTGTACTAACGATAATGTTTCACATAGATGCGGTGTGCTAAAAATGAAATGTCGAACTCAACGATAAGCGGCCAAGCTAGGGCGCGCCGTAACATTTTTTCCCATTGGCAAAATACCGTTTTTACAATATGTAACTAATCAGGGCTGCTAATTTTAAACCATCTCAACTTGTCGATAGAGAGTTAATGCCAGGATTTTGTGCGTTTGGTATTCTGCTAAAAGTTAAAAGTAGTGGCTTGTCAGTGCCTTGCCATCGTGGAATTGAAATTTCTACTATTAATATATTTTTATAGTTGTATTTTTTATGTAATTATTTACATAAAAAAAACATTTAATTTGACGGCTAAATTGCAGATCAAACGAGATAAAAATTACAATAATTAAGTGTAGTAATTTCCGTAGTAGTTTTAATAACACCGGATTTACATTTATCTGACGTGGCTTGTCAGAACGGTATCGGTTTCATAAACACATCACAAGCCGTCACGTCAGGTTGCGACATACTAATATAAATCTAAATATATTAAATGTATGTAACCGATACCGTTCTGACGCGTCACGACACGACACGTCAGACAAACGTAAATCCGGCTTTAGGCAACATCGACCGTTAGTGATGGAATGAATGAATGCCATCACTACCATTTCACTGTCACTCTTATTTTATTGTTATTCTGCTAGTTGCAATTTCAGTTGAGTCTCTATAGAGACTCAACTGAAAATTCAAGAAAATTACAAGACTTGGAGCCCTGGAAACGCTGGATTAAATGTTATTTAAATATTTGACGTTAGAGAATCTTAAAAAAATAATCATACACAAAATAAAACAGTAATACACGAACACCCAAAACATTGTACAACATCAACTGCGGCTATGTAGCATACCTTCGTTTGCGTATGTCAAAGAGAAAGTTTCGCAACCCTTCGCATAATTGTGTCGCTTGTTCACCGGACGTCGGATAAGTACACCTTTCAAATCTTATTGGCCGGGTTATGTAGGAATTTGAGTCTACATTTACCGGTGTGTTATTGTTGCTAACTTGCTTCGTATGTTGGCTTAGATTTTGCATAAATATTCATTCAATATTATTAAATCGCTAATAGTAGTAACTTGTGAAAGAGTTGATCCAGGGAAGTACTACCACCTTATCTAATTCTGCCACCAAGCAGTAATGTGAGCATTACTCCGTTCCGGTTTCGAAGGGTGCTGGTGAAATTACGGGCACATGGTACTTGTCAACTAGATTTTTGCGATTTAAAACATTGAGTAGCACTGCGATTGCTACGAACAGGCGTGTCGCTTAACATCAGAGGGTCTACTCCCGTTCTATGTCCGACATCCGTTACTCCGCAACAGTTACTGTCAAATAAGTAATACTCGACCACATTAAAAAACGCATGATGCGAATGAAGCTTCATGCTTGATATTGTTTTTTGATTTCGTCGAGTATTACCTTTTTCACAGAAATTATTTCGGACGAATGTCGGAGAACGAGATTAGACCCCCTGGCGCACGATTTGTTCGTCCCGTAACTTGGTATTATAAAAAAAAATCTATTTTGACCTAAATCCTTGGCATTACTCTTGTTACACTTTTCTAATATACAGTATTTGTAAGGTATACCTGTATTTAAATATTCATGTTAATCAAATAAACATTTGTATGATATTTTTCCAAGCGAACAAAATGCGTTTAACTTTTCACACTTAAATAAACCAATCTTGCTGGTAATCAAAAATTACGGAAAGCGGGTCCCATTACGAACTTTCACACATTTTCGCAGCAATATATAATTTTTATACCTCACTAGCTCGGAAAGGTTTTCTTTCTCGTTTCGTTTCGTTTTTTGC